CTCTCTCTCTCTCTCTGTCTCTCTCTCTTTCTTTCTCTCTCTCACTCTCTCTCTGTCTATATATCTCTCCTTCTATCTATCCATCTATCTATGTACATTTTGTATGTTTTATCTGTCCATGTTACTTACTGAAAGTCTTAACTTTTTTGTCTTTCCTTTATGATTCTCTCTCTGTTTTCATTAATTTGTTTTTCTTTCATCTTCTGTTGCTCTCTCTTTCTCCCTCAGCCCTCTTTTCATTTCTCTTCTTCCTCTGTCTTTATCCTTGAACGTCTCTCTCTCTCTCTCTCTTTCTCTCTCTCTCTCTCTCTCTCTCTCTCTCTCTCTCTCTCTCTCTCTTCTCTCGTTCTCCCTCTCTCTCTCTCCCTCTATCTTCCTTTCTCTCTTCCTCTGTCTCTATCTTCTCTCCTCTCCCTCCCTTGTCCCTGCATTTGTACCTCCCCTCCCCCTTTGATGCCCTCCCTCACCCCAATCTCTCCTAACAGTAACACGTCTTCTATTGTCTCCGTCCTGTCCCCTCTTGCTCTAGAGGGCCAGTCTGTTGAGGTTTCCTATTACACATTCACGTGATCTCAAACTTCATCATTTACTCTCGGGCTTAAAAGCAAAATGGTTGTAAGTAACGGAAATGTGCAGCTGATGGAACTATTAATTGACAAAAACCTGAAAGTCATCTTGCAACTGAGCCAGGAAAGTCTACTGTTCTTGTCAGTTTTCCGGCAACTAAGAATGTCAGAGAATGACTGATACACGTATACATCATAATGATAGATAGATAGATAGATAGACAGACAGACAGATAGATAGATAGATAGATAGATAGATAGATAGATAGATAGATAGATAGATAGATAGCCAGCCAAATAGCTGGAATTATTTCCACGGGTCACCTTCTGAATAGATTTTTTTATCTGTGGCGTGCGCTCACGCGAAAATAACTCGATCGAAAAAATGATTTTAAATGTCTTAGAGTTGAATTTTTAGCCAGCTTCATGCACAAGGGTACTTACGGATGTTTTCCTGATAAATCAACCTCTTCCTACTTCTAACAAAAATTTGGGGAGGTCATGCAAGACCAAAAAAGATCGTTTTATGGATCACGTAACGAACCACATAGCGAAGCCCAAGTTATGATTCGTGCGACGGGACAACCTGATTAAAAAGGGTTAAGAGTATTTTAGGGCCTGCTGGGGTAATAGTGGTTGTAAAGTGCATAGAGCATGCAGTGGAGCGATGATATGCGCTGTACAAAATGCTATTATTATTATTATTATTATTATTATTATTATTATTATTAGTATTATTATTATTATTATCATTATCATTATTACTAGTATTATCACTATATTATTATTAATTATTATTATTACAATGTATTATTATCATTAGCATAATTTTTTTATCATTACTTATTTTAAAGGAAACAGCAACAATATTGATCTGGGAACATTAATTTTACATTAATAATGCCTCTTTCTCATCTCCTTATTTCACTATGTCTGGGGTGTAAACTTTAGGCTCTTCAGTAAGTCCGTCTTTCTGCTAGGGTGCTGCATATCACCAAAGTGTGATATCACTCGGCCAGGTTTGGTTGTCACAGAAAGAGTCGATCAATCTCGACCAAAAGAGAGCCAAGCTGGTTGAGAGAGGGGTGGTTTTATAATTCACCAGACGATCAAAGTTCAAGATTTGGTCCAGCCCCCCCCCCCCTTTTCCTCCCACGCCCCCTTTACTTTGTAGTCCAGTATGATAATATTTTCTGAGCTCACAGCGCGCGTTCTCTCTCTCTCTCTCTCGCTCTCTCTCTCTCTCTCTCTCTCTCTCTCTCTCTCTCTCTCTCTCTCTCTCTCTCTCTCTCTCTCTCTCTCTCTCTCTCTCTCTCTCTCTCTCTCTCTCTCTCTCTCTTTGTCTCTCTCACTCTCTCTCTCTCTATCTTTCTCACTCTCTACCTGTCTCTCTCTTTTTAGCTGTTCCTCTCACAATCGTTCTCCCTCTCTCCCTTTCCCTCCTTCTCTTTATTCCGTCTTTTCATTTTGAAGTTTAGCTTCTTAGTACCTTTTAAAACAAAAAGGATTATATTCCTGAAACTGGTCAAAAGTGTCACTCCTTAAAACGTACAGTAAAAATACCGATTCCGAAATTACAAACCAAAATCTCAGATTTTTTTTTATCTTAGCCAATGATTTAACTGCCACGATATAATATGATATCCATTGTGATAACAGTAGGGATCATTCAAAAATGAATTTTGATGTGTAAGTTAAAAAAACAAAACATAATAAAAGTATTTTTCAACACCCACGCAAGTATCAACATAAGATATTCCATACCGTATGCCCGTGCATGTTTCCCGTCGTTTTCTGCAAATCTCGTGTGAGAAGAAGCCCATCTGTTGGCTGTCAATGTCGTTTTAAGGAATTCCGTCTGATTTGCAGTGAAGATCAGAGGATCTCATCTACGGGGGGAAATCTATGCTGGATCAATCATTCCCGTCCAGCATCCGTCCTGGTGAGATAAATAAGCCGCCGTGTAAACATGCAAGCTTTGTGTCTGTCTGGCTGGAGGCCCTGTCTATTTGTCTGTTTGTCGGTGTGTCTCTCTTGTTTTTCTCCCTCTCTATCTGTTTCTCTACTACCATTCTCTCTTTCTCTATCTATCTCTCTTTCTCTTTCTCTTCACCCTCCCCCCTCTATATCTCTCTCTTTCTTTCTTTCTCTTTCTCTCTCTTTCTCTCTCTCTCTCTCTCTCTCTCTCTCTCTCTCTCTCTCTCTCTCTCTCTCACTCTCTCTCCCCCTCCCTCCGTTCATCTCCCTCTTAGCATTTCATCATTGTCTTGATTCTCTCCCTGACTTCCCTGTTAGTGCTAGTCTGAGCTAGACTATACAACTGTCATGTAAAGCAGAACTTTCATCTCTTCGACTGTTCTGGAGAAAAAAAATCATAACCTATGCTTCCCTTTTTATGTAAAACCATAAGCGTTTCTTTCAGAAATTGGTTTTCTTTAACCGCTAAAGCCTCTTTTTACATCTTATTTCGACGTATAACAGCTTAGGTTTACTCTGCAAACACGAAATCCCTCTCGTCTCTCGTGTCTTTTGTTACTAGCCAGGAGGAATCCGGTACTGTTCTTGAAACACGAAATGCCAGTCTATAGAATAGCGCTTTAATACCATTCAAGTTTTTGTCGTTGTATGCTTGGCATTCATCCAAAAGGAGCCTAACAAACTTCTATTGAAGCATCACTTTTATTGGCCCTGGTGATCAGTCGTACTTGTTTTGTATCAAACATAATAAACATAACGTGAATTCCAAATATTTTCTTCTTTTTTTAAATTAAGAGTTTTACTGCACTTGCAACGCAATAAGTTCATATAAGAGTCGAAACACTTTCGTCTACATCCTCCGAGCCTGTTGATTGAAAGTATCCGTTCCCTACAGCGTGAACTTTTTAAAGATTAAAGGAAAATATCGTTCACAACTTGTACACTATACGCCTTGCCTGAAAAAGCTGAAGATCGGATCTCTGATCATGCGATTTTTATAAAGTCTCAAGCTCTTTACCTCTGGACAATTTCCAAAAATTCAATTCAATTGAGAATGTTAAAGTATATGAAAAATATGTCGACATAAATAGAGAAGAAAGGCATAAGAAGAAAAGGGGGAGACTCTCATTTCGTCGTCCACTTCACGTTGAATATCTTAACACAATAACACCCC